TACAATAAATAAAAAAATTAGCCAGGTGTGGTAGCACGTGCCTGTAGTTCCAGCTACTTGGAAGGCTGAGGCAGAAGGATTGCTGGAGCCCAGCAGGCCGACGCTGGGGTGGCCATGAGCATACCACTGCACTCCAGCCTGGGGGAGAGAATGAGACTCCAACTCAAAACACACATACACACACACACACATACAAAACAACAAAACAAAACAAAAAAAACAGACACAGCCCCTCCAGGCATGGTGGACGCGCTTGTAATCCCAAATACTCAGCAGGCAGAGGCGGAAGATCACTTGAGGCTGGGAGTTCGAGTCCAGCCTAGGCAGTATAGAGACACCCTGTCTCTAAAATAAAAATTTAAAAAACACCACAAAAACAAACCATTGAGTTGAAATGTGAGAGCCCAGGGCGTCCTATACATCCCAGTTCAGGACCACCACTCCCTCTTTTACCAGTGCAGCTCCCTAACCAGGAACTTTTGTAATGTGGGCGAGAATCCATGTTAACTTCCGGGGAGAGTCGGATGAAGAACGGACCGCTTCCGGCGAGGGGCGGGAAAGACTGGCCGCCTCTGGGGCGACGCTTCCGGATCGAGGTTCGCTTTCGTACATGGCTGGGGTGCCCGCGGCGGGAGCGGTTTGCTGGCCCTTGTGGGTCCGCTCCCGCAGCGCCCGCTGCCCCGCGGCTCTGACACCTCTACGCCTCTCCCAGGAGCCCCGGACTCTGTGTCGCCGGCGTCTCTCCTGCCTCCGGTCCCGCCAGACACCCCTGGCTCTTCAGGCCGCTTGGTCCCCGTGTGCCCCTCGCACCTCTGTTGCCTGAGCCCTCTGGGCCCCTCCGGCCCTTCTGCCTCCCTCTCTTGTTCCTCTCCGCGATTCGCTGCCCTCGGAAGCCCCTGGGGCTGGCCGTGTGGACGCGGAGCCACCTCGTCCCCTAGAATCCACTGACAGACGGTATGTGAGTGCCTAGACCTGACTGGTGGGGGGGATGGAGAAGCGGCCTGGGCCGGGACTGACCATAAAGGGCCTTCCTTGAAAGTCAGACATGGTACCGACCAGACTCGGGGTGGCTGTGGAGCTTCTGAGCTCCCAGCTGGGGTGATGGCCTGGATCCATACGCTCCAGTGAGGATGCACTTGCCCATCAGACTGATTGGCTGAGAAACCACCCTGACCTGGCTCACTGAGACTGACCAGCGTGGACCCAGAGCTGCTCTGGGCTCCCAACCTGGGTGAAAGGTCTGAACTGACAACCTATTCAGGTTGACCAGGCCACCCTGCCTCACTGACCTCCTGCCCCCATCACCCGTGCAGCCATGGAGAAGATGTCCCGCGTGACCACAGCCCTGGGCGGCAGTGTGCTGACGGGCCGCACCATGCACTGCCACCTCGATGCTCCGGCCAACGCCATCAGTGTGTGCCGTGATGCAGCCCAGGTGGTCGTGGCCGGCCGCAGCATCTTCAAGATCTACGCCATCGAGGAGGAGCAGTTCGTTGAGAAGCTGAACCTGCGGGTGGGCCGCAAGCCCTCACTTAACCTGAGCTGCGCCGATGTGGTCTGGCACCAGATGGATGAGAACCTGCTGGCCACAGCGGCCACCAATGGCGTTGTGGTCACATGGAACCTGGGCCGGCCGTCCCGCAACAAGCAGGACCAGCTGTTTACAGAACATAAGCGCACGGTGAACAAAGTCTGCTTCCACCCCACGGAAGCCCATGTGCTGCTCAGTGGCTCCCAGGATGGCTTCATGAAGTGTTTTGACCTCCGCAGAAAGGACTCTGTCAGTACCTTCTCAGGTGAGGCTCACATAGGCAGGTCGGGGCAGGTGGGCATCTCTGCTGGCACCCAGCTCCTCCATGCAGGTGGGTTGAGGCGGGTGGTTCAGCAAGGAGAGGTTAGCAGACCTGAGTGAGGTGTGAGCTGGGGCAGTGATGGAGGGGAGAAGCAGGAGGCAGACCTGCTAGAAAGTGAGGCTGGGTGTGGGCTGAGGGGGAAGGCAGAGCTGCAGCGGTCTCACAGGTGATCTGGTGGCTGAGCAGCTGCGTTCTTGCTTTCCCTCCCCCTCCCCCAGAGCTTCAGGCTGCATCATTGCAGCGAGTCAGTTTGGACTTCTAGGGTTCTTGGTCCAGGGAGGCAGAGGAGATGATACACTGTCTAGCTCCCCCAGGGCTCTTCTCCTAGCCTGCCCACCACCTTGATGACTGCCCCAAGCCAGCTCTCCCTTGTTCACCTGGGTGAATCCTAGTGGAGCACAAGGGAGAGCCCTCAGGAACCTTAGAGAATCTGGGGACAGGTTCTGAGCTGCCTGTGCTGGGGAAAGACTGGGCATGGCCCTCAAAAGCTCTTGGCATGCTGGCCCACCAGGGCAGACTGGATCCCAAGCCCTCCAGGCCTTCAGGTGCACCAGGCAGCTCCAACTCCAGGTAAAGGGATGGGGCAGAGACTGGGGTGACCTCCTCAGTGCCTACCTAGGCCTCCCACAGGGTCTCAGGACCCACGGGGGCATGTGGGTAGGTGGCCTGGTAGGCTCTCGTTCTCCCAGCACTCAGATACTGAGCTGGGCCACAGCTTTACCAAAGACTGATGGGAGATGAAGAATCCTGGGAAACCTGAGGTCCAGAAGTTAGTATGAAGAGCCTCTCGGTAGCCTCCTCCCTCAAGTGGCTCTGGCCACTCTTTGGGTACTCCCCAGCCCATCCACCCTAGGCAGTCCTCAGGGTCTGGGCCTCCTGGCCTGGGCCACAGGCAGGTGTGTGAGCCAGCATCTCACCACTCCCACCACTGATGTCCCACCCACAGGCCAGTCTGAGAGTGTGCGGGATGTCCAGTTCAGCATCCGTGACTATTTCACCTTTGCCTCGACCTTCGAGAATGGCAACGTGCAGCTCTGGGACATCCGGCGTCCTGACCGATGTGAGAGGATGTTCACGGCCCATAATGGGCCTGTCTTCTGCTGTGACTGGCACCCCGAGGACAGGTGTGGTGTGGGATGCAGTGGGTGGCAGCAGGGTTCACGGACAGCCCTCCCCCTTCCTCAAGACCTGTAAGGCAGAATGGGGAGAGGCAGGGCTGGGGTGATGCCCTCTCTCTCATGAGAGGTCACTGAGGCCTGGGTGGGGCCTTCCCACAGGGGCTGGCTGGCCACAGGAGGGCGCGACAAGATGGTGAAGGTCTGGGACATGACCACACACCGTGCCAAAGAGATGCACTGTGTGCAGACTATCGCCTCAGTGGCCCGCGTCAAGTGGAGGCCGGAATGCCGCCACCACCTGGCCACGTGCTCCATGATGGTGGATCACAACATCTATGTGTGGGACGTGCGCCGGCCCTTTGTGCCGGCTGCCATGTTTGAGGAGCACCGTGATGTCACGACAGGCATTGCGTGGCGTCACCCTCACGACCCCTCCTTCCTGCTGTCAGGCTCCAAGGACAGCTCGCTGTGCCAACACTTGTTCCGTGATGCCAGCCAGCCTGTCGAGCGTGCTAACCCCGAGGGCCTCTGCTATGGCCTTTTTGGGGACCTGGCATTTGCTGCCAAGGAGAGCCTAGTGGCTGCCGAGTCGGGGCGCAAGCCCTATGCCGGAGATCGGCGCCACCCCATCTTCTTCAAGCGCAAGCTGGACCCTGCCGAGCCCTTCGCTGGCCTTGCCTCCAGTGCCCTTAGTGTCTTTGAGATGGAGCCTGGTGGTGGCAGCATGGGCTGGTTTGTGGACACAGCTGAGCGTTACGCTCTGGCTGGCCGACCACTGGCCGAGCTCTGTGACCACAACGCGAAGGTGGCTCGAGAGCTTGGCCGCAACCAGGTAGGAGGGCCTGGGCTGTGGGGGCCTCGGGGCCATTACCTGGGGCTAGGGCTGGCTTCTCCAACTGCTGTACCCACCCCACCCCAAGCTCAGCACTAGGCTCTGGCCAGTTGCCCAGTAACCAAGAATGCCAAGATCACACAGGACCAGGGCCCCAGAGTGGATCAGGCCCCAGCCCTATGCTCTAGAAGCAGAGGTTGGGGAGCCCTGTGGCTCACATCCTGTGTTCCACCTTCCTGCTTGCGGGCCTCCTGAGGCATCAGGCCTACAGGTGCGAGCCACCTCCCCCATGCCCCTGCCTCGTATCAGCCTGCTGGTGGTCCCTTGCTCATCTCCACACTGACTGCCTCCCACCTTGTTTCCTTCCATGCTACTGCAGGATGCAGACCGTAATTCCCACCCTGCCTATAGGCCTCAGCTTCCCCACCAGGTGGGCCTGAACATTGGTCCCATGGGGCCACTGATGCTGAGGGGGTTCATGCTGCTGTACAGGCAGAGGGGGGCCTTTATGAGGTGCTGGTGCCCAGGACCCTCACGAGGGACTGGTACCTGCCCCCAGGTGGCGCAGACTTGGACCATGCTGCGGATCATCTACTGCAGCCCTGGCCTGGTGCCCTCAGCCAACCTCAACCACAGCATGGGCAAGGGCAGTGCCTGTGGCCTGCCACTCATGAACAGGTGGGTGCCTGGGCTGCTCTCCCCAGAGGGTGGGACTGCTGGAGTCCGCCACTTACTAACCTTCCTGCCTCCAGTTTCAACCTGAAGGATATGACTCCAGGGCTAGGCAGCGAGACCCGGCTGGACCGCAGCAAGGGTGACACACGCAGCGACACAGTCCTGCTTGACTCCTCAGCCACACTCGTCACCAACGAGGGTAGGCTGGAGGGTGGGCAGGGGACGCCAGTGAGGATGGGGCCGCATCCCAGGGCACACTGTCCCTGACCCTTCTCTCTCCCTCCCCACCCGCTGGGCAGATAACGAGGAAACTGAGGGCAGCGATGTGCCTGCCGACTACCTGCTGGGCGACGTGGAGGGTGAGGAGGATGAGCTGTACCTGCTAGACCCAGACCACACACACCGTGAGTGGGGGCTGGGGCAGGGTGGGGTTGGGAGGCAGATTGGGACAGGCTCAGAGCCCTGCCCTGCCCCTGCCTCCCAGCCGAGGAGCCCGAGTGCGTGCTGCCGCAGGAGGCTTTCCCGCTGCGCCACGAGATCGTGGACACGCCACCTGGACCCGAGCACCTGCAGGACAAGGCTGACTCACCCCACGTGAGCGGCAGTGAGGCGGACACCATCTCCCTAGCGCCCATGGACTCCTCCTTCTCGCTCCTGTCTGTCTCCCATGCGCTCTATGACAGTCGCCTGCCGCCCGATTTCTTCAGTGTGCTGGTGCGCGACATGCTGCACTTTTATGCTGAGCAGGGAGATGTGCAGATGGCCGTGTCCGTGCTCATCGTGCTGGGGGATCGCGTGCGCAAGGACATTGATGAGCAGACCCAGGTGTGGTGGGCGGGGAGGGCTCCTGGTACAGCCCTCCCCACCTGAGCCTGGCCCTGGTCTGCTGCGCTGCCCCCACCTCCTTCCCCTGCTGTGTGCTTGGTGATCCTGATCTCCTGGGCCCCTCCCTGCCCCCAGGAGCACTGGTACACATCCTACATTGACCTGCTGCAACGCTTCCGCCTCTGGAACGTGTCTAACGAGGTGGTCAAGCTGAGCACCAGTCGAGCTGTCAGCTGCCTCAACCAGGCGTCCACCACCCTACACGTCAACTGCAGCCATTGCAAACGGCCCATGAGCAGCCGTGGCTGGGTCTGCGACAGGTGGGGCAGTGGGGCGAGGGGTTTCGGGGGCTTGTAGGCCACTCAGGAGCCCCCTGCTGAGGTACCTTCCTGCCTTCAGGTGCCACCGCTGCGCCAGCATGTGTGCGGTCTGCCACCACGTGGTCAAGGGCCTGTTCGTTTGGTGCCAGGGCTGTAGCCATGGTGGCCACCTGCAGCACATCATGAAGTGGCTGGAGGGCAGCTCCCACTGTCCCGCCGGCTGTGGCCACCTCTGCGAGTATTCCTGACCCGCCAGCTCTGGGGTGAGGGCAGTTACTGCCAGATCTTGAGTCCCAAGGCCCGCTGGGGACAGGAATGCCTCACTGTTGCCTACGTGCACACTCTTGGCCCAGATCTTGTGTGCGAGATAAAAGGGGGCTGAAACTTGTGAGCCCAATAAAATAAGTGAGAGCTGCTGTCTTGGCTGCCTGTCACCCAATCAAGCCGCGGACTGGCCCTGTCCCTATGCCGCGCGGCGGGGAAGGTGGGCGACATCGCCATGGTAACCGGCAGTGGCCAATAGCGGCTCTCGGTGCGGTTTTTGCGCCCTCCGGAAATGCTCCTTCCGGGTTCAGGCCGCTGAAGGCCACTTCCGGGAGCCGTCGCGGCGTCGGCCGTTGCCACGACGACGGTCGAAACAGTCGGCCAATGGAAGCCGGGCGGGCCAGAGCTCCCGGCGTGCTGCGCGGCTGCGACGCGGGCCCGGGCGGCCTGCGGGCAGTGGGGGCTCAATGGCACGGGAGGTGTGGTCCGTCCTGCTGTTCGTGCTCTGGGCGTTGGCGGCTCCGGTTCGGCCCGCCGCCGAGGAGACAGGTGACGGGGGCTGGTGAGCGGGCCGGGGTCGACCGCAGCAGAGAAGCGCTGCACCGCGGAGCGCCGCGCCGACCTCACCCATGCCGAGTTCGCTCAGCGGTAAGTGTACCCTTCCCGGAGCCGAGCCCCCCGACCTCTGGGGTCGCGCCGCCAGAGGGTCCACGGCCGCCTCCCGGAATTTGGCGCTGACGCGCGGGGGCGGGCGCCACAGGGGTCTGGGCCGGAGCTGGCCCTGACGCTGCCCTTCTTTCCAGCTACGCCTTCCTCAGACCCGTCATCCTGCGGGGACTCACGGACAACTTGGTGAGTGTCTCACCCATCTCTGGCGACTCCCGCCCGCGTGGGTCCGGCCTCTAAGTCCTTTCCCCGCTCCCTCAGTGGTTTCGGACCCTGTGCTCCCGCGAAAGGCTGCTGGCCTCATTTGGGCACAGCGTGGTCCGGTTGAGCACTGCCAACACCTCCTCCTACCAGAAAGGTGAGCTGCCCCACCAGCACTCTGGCGGTAGGACCAGCCATTCCTGACCGTCCCTTCCCCACAGTGGGTATGCCCTTCCAGGAGTACGTAGAGCAGCTACTGTACCCCCAGGACCCCACCTCTCTGGGCAAGGTGAGCTGCGCTGGGCAGTAGCAGAGTGGGGACACTTGGGAGTCCCCAGGCACCAGGATCTCTGTCCGCATCTTCTTTGCTGGCCTATGCTTTTTTTGGAGACAACTTTACCAAATGGGTGCTGCTGTTCTGGCACCACTTCCCTTGCTAGGCACTTCTACATACAGCTTCGGCATTGCAGGTGCTGTTGTCAGGATTGGGGTGCTCTGGGGGTGGGGGTGGGGGTGGGGATGGGTTAGGCTGGCCACCAGCTGGCCTGGGGGTGGCTTTCCGCTGGCATGGGCCTGGGTACTCAGAGGTGATCTGTGGTTGTAAGGTCAGCACAGGGTGGAGTTTGAGGCTTGGGGCTCCCTGGCCACACACACAGGAATGGCAATTATTCCTGCCCCTAGCACTGGTTCCTATACCCACCTGAGAAGATTCTGGAGTTCCACCCCACGAAGACCACGCTGGCCTGGCTCCAGGACACATACCTAACCCTGGTACAGTCTGCACGGCCTCCGGACTGTACCATCCAGGCTGTGAGGTCAGTGGCTGGTAGCAGGGGACCAGGTCAGGCCAAAGGACCCCGGCTGTTCCCTCTGCTGCACCCCTCCAGGTGCTGTACTTTCCCGACCTTTGGTGGCATGCTACACTCAATCGTGTCATGAGTGTCTTCATCTCCACGTTCCTTGGCTAGCTGGAGCAGGTGGTGGATAAGCCCACCACACAGCAGCACATGCCCACCTAGTGCTCATAGACTTTATTACAGAGACAACAGCAGCAGCCTCAGCCCAACCCACCCTCACCTGCTTTTCCAGCCCAGAAGGGAGAACAGGAGGCGTGTGGTCCAGCAGGAGCTAGGCCAAGAGGGGAGCAGTCCAGAGCCCAGCAGCAGAACTGGAGGGGCGGGGCCTGGGGCACACCTATGTACAGAGGTTGGGGCTTCTGCCCAGGGCCCTCCTGGACCGGGAGGCCAGCAAGGCCACAGGAGCCTCAGTAGTCCTCCACCCAGCCGTTCTCAGAGATGAATGCATCGATGACCTCCTTCATAGCCAGGTTAGGGATAAGTTGCTCCTGGGTCAGCGGGCTCCGCGTCACGGGGTCAAAGTGACCCACACGCTGTGGCGACACAGGGTTACAGGGCAATTGGCAGGCCTGAGGGCTGTGCCCCGGCCCACTCCCGGTGGCCCTCACCTGCAGGTGTTCCTCAATGTCCTTGCGGTCGTAGGTGATGCCACTGGGCGTGATGCATGGTTCTCGCATCAGCTCAAAGCTGATCTTGCCACATAGGTAGTCAGGGATGTCTCGCTTCTGTGACACATGGGAATAGGGTCAGGACCAAGAAGGCGACACTGCTCCAGAGCCTGCCACCTAGACTGCAGGGAACAGACACTCACCTTCCTCTTCTCATCCACCTGAGAGAAGAGCTCATCCATGTCCGCCATGTATTTGTCCTGTGAAGAATTGAGCACTGGGCTTGGGCCAGAAACCCCAGCTCCCTTTTCCACTACCAGGCACACCAGACCCATGAGGCAGGGGCACTCTCCTGCCATGCATGGCCACGCAGATCTGCGAGTGGGATAGGGCACCCTCCCACCGTGTGCACACACAAACAGACCCACACGTGGAAGGGGGAGCCCTCACGTGCTTGGCCTCAATGCAGGCCTGCTGGGCCCGGACATGGCCATCATCCTCGTCACCCTCATGGTTCCGCTGACATTCTTCCAGCTCCCTGGGGATCGACCAGATACTGGTCAGATGGACCTGGCTGGACGTCACCCTAGCCCACTTTGGGGCTGATGTCCTGGCCGCTCCCCATCTCCTGCTGGCCAGTCTTGGCCTTCAATAAACACCCGTGTTGGCAGCTGGTGACTCAGTTACCCCAAGACACGATGGCCCAGGGCGTGGCCCACCTCTCACGCTCAGCAGCAATGAGCCGCGTGAGGTAGGAGTGCAGCTCGCTCTCCTGGTGGATGCGCCGCTCCTCGATGCTGTTCCAGCGCTTCTTCTTGGCGATGCGCAGAGCGCTGGGGATGTCGTCCCCAAAGTTGAGCCGCTGCTCCTTGGCCAGGCTGTAGGCTGGGGAGTGGAGGCTTCAGGTTACCCCAGCTGGTCCCCTGCCCATCCCAGGCGCCCACAGCCCGCAGCTGGTGGACCCACCTCGCTGCAGGTTGGCAATGGCTTCGTCGTAGTTCTCCATCTCCAGCTGGCACTGCCCCAGGAAGAAGTGCGCCTTCACGGACTGCCCGTCCAGCTCCAGTGCGCGACGGCAGTCAGCCAGCGCCTGCTCGTGCTGCTGCATCTTCAGGTAGCACAGGGCTCGGTTGGTGTAATACACTGCCACCAAGGGATTCCGGGTCTGGGGACCAAGGCCAGGGCAGTCCATGTGAGGGCGTGGGCCTGGCCCGCCCCTCTGTCCCGAGTACCGTCCCAACTTGGAGAATCAAGAAATGAGGTTTCTCAACTGTCAAAGGCCCTGCGGAGGGTGGAACCCTGGCTAAGATCACCCCTTGGACTCATAAAGTGTACCCAACCTGTGGCGAGCGCTGGCTTTTAACCCGGGGTGCTCGGGCAAGGGTCCCTCCCTGGCCTCCAGCCCAGCCAGCCTCAGTTGACATCTCTCCCAGCCCACCCCTCCGGCAACCAGCATCCGGCTCGAGAGCGTTGGAGCAAGAGCATCACTGAGTCTTCAGAGCCCAAGACCCTCCGAGGGAATGATGGGGCGGCCGGGAGCGGACTGAAGCCCGGCGATCCGACGCCGACCCCTCCCGACGCGGCCGCACTCACGATGGCGCGGCCGTAGCAGGCCGCCGCCTCCGGGTACTTGCGACCCACGAAGAGCCGGTTGCCCTGCTCCTTGAGCTCCTGCGCACTTGGGCTTTTCTCGGGACTGCCGGCGCCCAGCCGCGCGCCGCCCTCCTTCTCCTCCTTGCC